CTGTTATTACAGGTGCTGGAACAAGCTGATACATGAACTGTACTGATGACTGTAAAACCATGCACTTCTACTGTATTTCTACTTTCCTTCCCAAATGACTTCACCTCCATTTGAATAAGCGAAGACAGTGTTTTCACAAAACGCCTGAGAGAGGACAAATAACAAAAGGTTGTGTTTTAAAAAAGGAGGTTAATCTGTTTTTACACATGAAAGCACTCCTGACAGGACTGATTTTAGAGATCTAAAGATAAACAAGCCATGATTTTGTCTGGCCCAAACAGACAGATAATAAAGGCGCTAGTACAATTTTGAAATTACCTCTGTGTGAATTCTCATCTTGATAGCAAATGCCTAATAATCATATAAAAATAAAATGGTAACAGTCTTCTGAGGCATTTAATGGTTTTTTTTTTTTTACCCAGTCAGTGTGCTGAGTTGAGCAACAGCATCACAGCTCTGTCTTGTTAGAGCTAGACATGAAGCTATTTCCTGAAACTATTTCACACTTGGTGGTTTCTACACTTTGATATGGAACACACTGAAGTTACTGCAGAAAACACACAATAAACATTACAATAACCCATGCATCAGTGAAAAATCTACAGGTCCAGTGAACTGCAAACTTAATGGCTGTCCGTTTAGTGGTTACAAGCTTTTGCACGCTGGGACAATATTAGCAAGACCTCTGGGTCACTGAGATGCTGGAATTTCTGTGGGGAAATACCCTTTAGCTAGAAATAACCTCAAACAGGTTTCAATTTGCATCCGGAGTTAGTGACAGTGGGCTTTTTAAATTATGATATTTATGACAGTATCTCTCAAAAAATTAGTCCCGTCGACGCCATCCACACACTGCATCAGCACTGCTTTACAGTGACCCGCCGCTCTCTAAGAAAAGACCAGACCAATCTCCATTTAAAAATAATGCAAATAAGATAATATTCTCTGCATATTGGAAAACATAAATTATAATATTCAATCTCAAAACCATAGACGAGTCGATTGGGTTGCTCTTTCATTCGGCATGTAGCACATATTGATCAACGAGTTACGGAGAGAAAAAATGACACCCAACTTCACAGTAGCAACACCTCTTTGCGTCCAGTGTGTTGTACAGGTAGGTGGCCAAGACTGCATTCTTACTGAAACAGTTTTGTTTGATATCATTGACGACAGCCTCTTGTCAACATGAAAACTTTTTTAAATGCTGCTGCACAAGACATGCAAGTCTGTGTGTTACAGAAAAAAGTATTACCAGCACAGAGTTTGACCTCAGCCTCTTTCCATACATATGAATTTAAATATAAATGTTAGACTCCAGGCCGCTGCCACTTCTCACCTGTCCGCCAGAGGAAATGTTTCCAGACAGGAAGAGGGGGCTCACCTTACCAGCCCCACCTCACCGACCCAAACAGGTAGGCTAACTGAACTTGGTACCTTTCTGCTTCTCCACTAGAAAAGACAATAACGAGTGAGGTTTTACCTTTTTCCGCTGTTAACAACCTCCGACGAGTTTCCACAGTTCACGTCATGTCTGCTCAACACTGGGGCCAGAAGAACGAATACTCGCTCAGAACATCGACCGTAGTGTGAGGTTCTTACGGACTTCCTCCTCAGTGTGTGTGTGTGTGTGGACATCAAATATCAAGCCAGACACAACCTCTGTTAGATTAACACTTTCAAAATAAAAGCCCTGCCCGCGAGCGCGTGAGCCAAAAGACACCAAAAGAAAGAATAGAAAATAGAGAGATAATAGTAAATAGGAAAAATTAAGCATTTTAACACAGTTTTGAAATGCATTTACATATCTATGAGTGCAACGTGCAAGCTGGTTATACATTAGACGGCGTAGTTTTAGCCGTCAAATAGCCTGAACAGGATAAGCCTTTCAGACGTTATCATCAGTTTGATATTATAATAATATTATGGCAATATTTATGGTAAGTTTAATACAAATTTGGTTTATTCAACGCTACTTGCTGTAGTTTATTTTGAAAGTAAAATGTATGGTTTCCGGTAAGCTATAACTCCAGCTAACTTGACTGAGATGGAAGCATTGCATAAGTGTTTGGAGCATGAGGCAAAAATCCCATAGCAAATCGAACCCTATGTTGTGTTTTGAGTAATTTGATTGCTCTCATTTCTAGTAACTAAAAGATTACTCAAATTAAAGACACTTTCCCCAAATGACTTTACGTCAATTTAGGTGGGAAAAATAGTTGGGTGATGTCACACATTTGGGACTGAGCAGATGTAAAACAAAGTAGTTTTATGTTCATGTAAAAGGAGTAAATTGTGTAACTATACATACTACTGTATGAGTTTACTGTGAACGTTAGCTGTGTGCATGTAAAACTGAATCGTTAGTCAGTTGTTCTTACTGATATGTCCACCATCAATCTAAATTAAATAAATAAATAAATATTTGTTGGACGTATTTCTAGAGCAGTCTTTTGTGGCTCACATAAACCTAATCCTTTTCTCAAACAGCTGTTTTGCCTTATCATACCCATTAACCTTGGTACATGTAATCCCTCCACCCCCCAGTTCTCCACCTCAGTGTACTCAGTGAGTGAGGCCTTGGTGTTCATGGCTTTCTTTTTATCTGAGGTAGTGTAATCCTGTTGCTCTTATCTACTGACCAAAGCTCCAAATTTGTAAATGATGTGAGATGGTATCAAAAACACAGCCTGGTGTAGGACTTAATTTCATCAATGGAGCTGCTTTAAGGCTCGACTCACATGTAACCTCTACACACTATTATCTTTTCACACAGTAGATCATATTTTACGTGGCAGATAATATCAGCTGTTTCGCCACAACAGGTGATACACGACACCTCTCACATCAAACAGCTGTCTGCTCTGGATCCTCAACTTCCTCCCCTTGATTCATATCTTACCTCCTGATGGGTTGTAGTAATTCAATTCTTGTTCCAGTTCTTTAACACACATGGTTTAAGCCAGGTCTGCTTTATGCAGATTTAGTGTACCGACTACATCCTCAGTGAACTACATAGTTCCTGTCTATTTGCAGCAGACTATTGTAGTCTAACAATCACAACAATCCAATCTAGTACATACTGATGTTATCAAAGTCCACCCTTCCTGTGCTCTAAGCAGCCAAATTGACACTGTTTTTTCCCCTTTCATGTCTCATTTTTGCATTCCTATGAACCAAGTACCATGACTTCAACACAGTTGTGGTTTGCACAACTGTATTTTCCACATTTTCCATGTGTGGTCGCCATTCAGATTCCAGACACCTTTGTTTTTAAGGTATCATTGAAATGCTCCGTTGCTTTTTACGTATTGTGATGATAGTCTTTTCCACACCGTAATCATTTATGAACCCAAGATTTGTTTTCTCTCTTCTGTTAAGAAAAAAGTACACCAGAAATGTGTTGCAAAACTTTCTCTCAGCTGTCATTCTCTCTGTCTCAGATAGGTTTCTTCCCATCCACACGATCATTCAGTGGAGACTCTGTGGTTACTTGCAGCTTTTGCACCCCTCACCACATGCCGCCTTGTACTTACCCACGCGTTCCATTTTCTCAGCGTTAACCATGAAGTTCTCAGTCACATAACCATTCAGTAAATTCCCTTCTCCAATAACCTCAGGAGACTTGTTAACTCTCCTTTTATGAGTTTAAACTGATCCACTGTCATCCTGATGTGCATCAGTCTGTATGACAAAAGCATCTGTGTTGTGTGCATTTACACATTTCTGTACACCATGCTCATCTGTGGTTAGTTATGACTAATGTGTACATAATTTTTATAGTAACAATGCCTTAAAGTCATAAAAGCAGAAATACATCATAACCCTGTAAACATTCATCATGGTATGAACTTCTGCTCATATTTCATTCTGTTTGCATTTTTAAGTTTAGCTCCTTCAATTGTGCCTTTTAAATACACACTAGAGGAAGAGACCTTATGTATAAACGCACAATCAAACACACAATATTTGCCATTAATAAAGCAGATTTCATCTCTCATCTTATCAGTTTGGCTGGATTTGGCCCCGCTGAGGCTGTCAGACAAACTCAGACAGTTTACTATCTATTGGCATGTTTGTCTTTTCCGTTTGTAAAGCAATAAAAGCTTGATTGATTTTGTTCATTGAAGGTTCTGTAAGCAGCATTCAGGGTATTAAATATAGGCGTGAACCACTATTTGCTATATAAAGATTGTAGTGGAGTAATGATGACCTGAGCAGAGAATTAAGTCGCGCTATCTCTGTATGTTGTAATAGGGGCTGCTCTGTGGGTTGTCGTGATAGCACTGTTAGCTGCTAGCTACCAGCTCAGCCACCTCCATGCTGAGAGCCACGTGCAGGCAGTCAGGTGCATATCCATCCATTTCATCCCTTTTTATGCAGAAAAAAAACATGAACGGAAATGCCAAAATTTCAGAAAATTCTTTTAGAAATATCACAATAAAGTTTTTACACTTGGGGAAGTAGAAAAGTTTGTGAACTGATAGAAGGTAAATGCAACTAAGTGCAATGAATCTTCGTATCTGGATGGCTTTTAACACGTTTATGTATTACACATGCATTGTTTTCCTTCATTTGAAGTTCGACTGGTGCTCTTCTGCAGTAGCACCTGACTGTAGCATTAGCACCACCTACTGCTTATTTTGATGAACCAAAAAGCACATAAATTTGCAATTTCTTTTGCAGATTTTCTGAAAAATCTGTTAAAATTTGTTCTACATTCAAATGGAAACCCAGCTATAGATACACTCTGAATGTTGCATGCAGCTCCTCAAAAAATTCTAGACTGCATTAACCTTTCCGTATATTTTTGGAGACCAGTTTCCACATAATGCAGCATGGTGTACTTCACAGAACAAATGTATCCAACAGACACTTGATGAGACGGGAAAGGACAATGCCTTGTAAATGTGGCAATCGTCCATAAAAATATTCTTTTGTCAGATCTGGTGGAGGTGTCATATTTCACCCTGGCAGACACAAGAGACAGATCAACAATGTAGAGTTACACCAAAAGTGATATATATTAAAGATAGTATATACAAAACAATAACAACATATTTTGGTAGTACATACAGAACAAGTGTCCATGGCTTTAAGTTTTCAATCTAAATGAAATATTGTCTTATTCTGTGCACAATATAAAAACACACACAAATATAGAAACAGCATACTGCTTTGGCTGATATAAATAAGTGTTTTTATAAAGAGGAGTAACAGGGGTGATGTGGAGGGAGTATTGCTTTCATGTTGGACTCGTTGATGTTTCAAACCCTGAGTAGATCAGAAATTAATTGGGTGACAACCAATGGGAGACATCCAGAAGGACTTTCACTGCTTTACTACCAAAGTCATGAAGCCACGAGACTGACAGACAATATTTATCTCTCCTTTTGTGATTCCTCTGTTTGTAGTACTGCGTCCCACTGGATAAGAAAATGACAGATTGTACTGCAATTGGACCCACACTATCAGTCTGTGATGTTTAAATGAGTTATATATTTTAAAAGGACGGCATGTTATGACTTAAGTACCACCGAATACTTTCTGAAAGATACTGAAATGATTCTGACACTTCCAGAATTTTCAGACTAATTTTGCTTCTGAAAAATTTGACCACCAAATAAAAACAAAAACAAAGATAACTTAATAAAAATAACAAAACACATCAATTAAAATCCACTTTTCATTTGCATAACAGTGTCCTTCCTGTGTTTGCCCTGGTGCTGTGTCGTCACATGACTGTAGGCTCTATGTCACCCAGCTGTCCATTCGCATTCGTTTGACCGTCGGGCTCTCCCTGCCCTCTGAGCGACTCAGAGGGAGTGTGTGGAAGTCCAACCGCTGCTGCTCCTCCCGGTCGCTGCCACCCTCATGGGAGCTGCAGGAGGAGCTGACGCTGTCTGCGGGAGACCTCCCCATCTCTGCTCTGGTGGATGAGTGAGGATGAGGAGGGGCATGAGCCTGGGTCACGTACCCTGATTGGCTGAGGTGGTCGCGGGGTGGGGAGATGGGCTCAGCTTTGATGTTGATGTTGTGGTTGGTGTTGATGGAGAGATTGGAGCTCCCTGATCTTCAGATGGAGCGACAGAAAAGGAGGAATGTTTAAGGCTGAGATGGTGGAGTGAAGGTGCCACCTAGTGGTGAAACTAACACATCTGTAGACAGGGAAGGCTGGCTGATAATGAAACTTGCCTTGTGGTGGAACATATCTGCTTTTACCCAAGTGCTGCCCTTACGTACAAATTTGAGGTACTTGTACTTTGCTTGAGCTTTTTTATTTTATGCTATTTTATTTTGCACTACTTTATTTTTCAACTTCACTACAATTAAGAGACAAATAGTTTACTTTTAACTCCATTTATTTAACAACAGTTAAAAGTATGTAGAAATGTAAGGTTTTGCAAATAAAACATGAAATAAGCTTATAGAATATTAAATATTTTAATAAATTAAACAACCTATAGTAACAGTGCATACATCAGTTAAAATTAGCTCCATCTTGACCAACTAAAACAATAAAATGCTTATTAACACATGAATGCATGATGTGCAATAATCTAATAATGTAATTTATAAGAGTAAAACACTCGCAGGAGGCATTGTTTTGCATTTAGTACATTTCTACTTTAGATACTCTAAGTATATTTAGCTGAGATACATGTGTTTACTTAAAGTAACATTTTAAATTACGGACTTAAATGTGGCACCATGTACCTTTTTTTTTTTTAAAGAAGAGATAACGTATTTTCCTCCTACAAATGAGAAGCTGAACTCATAAGAGAGCATAGTTTGCTCAAGTCACACTCGGGTTTTCCAGCTACTGCTCACTGGTATGACCAGCAGTGATCTATGGTGACTAACAATATCTAAATTAGCCATATAAAGATCGGCATTGCTGTATAAAGGACACTCCTGATTCTACAACTCTTATCTACTTGTGCTACTGTTTCACTATGTTTTATCACTAACCATCATTATCCCATAATTGTCACTTGTGGCCACAGTGGCCACTGCTCAGGAAAAGTTACATTGTACACCTCTTGTATATATTACTACTCTACCTGTTTTTGGAGGTAATTTTTAACTTATCATTACTACACTTGGTCAACTACCAAAACTGTGTTAACAAACTGTCTAAAGAGAAAGGTGAACTGTGTGAGTTACTGACCCCAGAGAGCTCAGCTGGTGTTGCTGCCATGCTGCCATGGAGCCCAAAGAGGGGCCTGCAGGGGAGCTGAAGCCCGACAGGTCCGCGCTGTTCAGGGAGTAATCTGACAAAGAGAGAGACAACATGTAGCATAAATAGGGGCGGGGGAAAAAATTGATACAGCATAGTCTTGCGATATTTTTGTGTGGCCATATCGTGTCGTCACACAGTGCCAAGTATAGATTTTTTATTATACGAATTATTAATATTCAAATACAAGTGAAAAATTGGGTAGCATACTAGAATATTAGAATCAATTGCTTTTTAAGTCCAGACATAATTTGCAGCTGAAATAAAGGTAATAAATCACAATATATCACAATATATTTTACAGCAATACTCAACCACCTGAAACTCTTTGACCTTCACTCATGTTTAGTTTTAGTGTCTTCTGATGGCCCAAAGAGGCTCCTCTACCTCAGAAAGAGTGACACACTGAAGATATATGAATTTTGGCATTTGACAATCATCCTGGATAAAAATCCTCATATTTAAAGATACAGATTATCTTTATATGCATCTATATATCTTTGTGTCAATTGAAAACACAGACATAGCTAATCTAACCCTACCAAAATGCCCAAAGGGCTGCTTTCCATATGTAGCTTAATGTCTAAACCACCTGATCTCACAGCCCTGCAGGGTTCTTTGGGTAACAGGGTAGATATTCTGTGTTATTCTGGTTCTCCTGGTCTCCCATTTGAAACTTAACAGCACAAAAATAATAATGTAGCCCAATACATAAAGAAAAATAGCAGTATTTCAATGTCCTCTGGTCCTCAGGGGCTATGCTACTGACAGCAACACAATTCAAATTCTCATAATCATCAGGTACCGTTGTTGTAGGCAGAAGTGATGCCGGAGTAGACCAGACTCTGGTGAGGCAGACTGGGTGTGGTGATGGAGACCACCGGGGTGGACAGAGGCTGGCTGGACTGATTGCTGCTCAGCCTCTGATTACTCTGAAAATACAAAAAAAAACCCACATACATAGTCATTAAGTTTTTCCATTATAAGGGTGAAAGGGTTACCTATTAGAATATGCTATATGAAAAGGGTAGTAATAATAATAAGCTTCAGCTTTAACCTTCAGCCATTTGTTTGTTTAATTCCTTATTGTTATCTATTCCCTTTATGTGCATCATTTTTGGAAATTTCAATAAGGACGGGAACAGAAATTACTAATACTACTACTGACTATGCAGTTACACTGTACACTGGGTGACACACTGCTGCTTGTGATGCCCCATTTCAACCACATGATGTCAGTATAAACAGATTTTTTCATAGTGTCTTTCAACAGCGACTGAAAACTATTTTCCTTCAAAAATTTTAAATCTCACACACTTACTCTGTATTCTAGGCATGATCAAAAATGTACCTGCTGGTGTGTCCACTTTTCATGAACCTGCAACATCTACTTTTTATTTAATAATTAACTACATTTCCTAAAATGCCTCCAACTTCCAGAGAGTGTGTCTGATCTTGCTGGGTGTCAGCGTCCTGCTCAAGAAAACACTCAACAACGCATAAGCCTGTTGATGGATGTTGAACATTTTGCTTAACTAAAAGTCAATCAAACATTCATCAACCTGCCGGTGTCTTCCGTTAAGTGCGTAACCCTGTAAATCCATCTGTGATAGATTAATTACTCTGTATTTCAAACAGAGAGAGCCTTGCTTGTAAAACATTTCTTAAAATGCAAATCCTTATATCATCTAAAAACTATCTCATCTCCTAAATTGCTTGACTCAGTTTTGAGCTGATTTGCCACATTGAGTGTTTTGCATTTCGACTGGTAGCAGTCTCATTAAGGAATTGTAATCAGGCCTACTGCTGCAACCTCAGTGCTAATTTACTTGATTGAGTGTTTTAACCAATTAATCAAAGAACCACTAAATACCAGCAGGCAATTCATTCTTAATCAGTCACAGTCTCACATTAAGATAGAAACCAAATTGGTTTGGCACACTTCATGTCTGACTGGTGAAGCTGCTGTAATCAAAACTGGTGGCTGTTTAACTTGACACATTTCTAACAGTCATTAGAAGTTCGGTGTTGTTCCTCTCTGGGCTGTTGCTGTTCCAACCTGATAATGTCAGCAATGACATCACCCCGATGTCATTCCAAAAGCACACGCGCACGTACACACATACAAACAGTGTTACTGATACATGCCTAAAACTAATGTGCTCAAAAACAGAAAGCCATCCCAGAGCTTCCTTCCTCTTTCCATGTGTTGTCTGTGGTTTCCCTGTCACTATGAGTGACAGATGCCGTGGTGGAGAAGTCAAGTTCGAGCTAACACTGTTGATGATGATGATTAACACATGCAGCCCGGGCAGTGAAGAAAAGCAAACCTGCTCAGTTCTTTATGGATGTTGTTTGAAAGAAACACAATGATCCAATAAAATAAATAAAAACTAAAATTTGTGTTTTTGTTTGTTTGTGCAAAGCAATACATAAAGCACACTGTACAAACAAATACAGTAAACCCACACACACATATCATAGAGAAGGAAGTGAAAGGCAGTTTGAAAATGATCAGAGGAGTTGCTGTCTGACCGCAACTCAGAGACATGTCATCATCTGCGCAACCACCCTCTTCTGTTGCTTTAAACATGGTGGAAAGATTAGCATGCTGTTGTTTATGGTGTTGTTACATGTTTCAGCTGCACGCCACTGTCAGCCCATAAAAACTGGTGTTTAACACTCTCACACCACTGAAAAAGACCATGCTCATCTTTAACTGCGCATGATGACAAAGTTATTTGTCATCCAGTGTTTAACAATAATCATGTGAGAAAGAGTCAAATGCTATGAAATGATAAAGATTGACAAATGCATGATCACATTTGACTCAGTGCTGTAGAGGCAGTGTGACTGCCACATGTGGGATGAAAGGGCGTGTATTAATTTACGATTTCTATACTTGAAATATAGTCACACTTTATTTCTAACTCTCACAACTATTCCTAAATGAGTCTTCAACGGTAACCTATAAAGCACTTTAAATTTGCAATCCATTTCTGACTGCTGTTAACAGCAGATAGCAGGAGGAATAAGAAATGCTGTCCTTTTACTGATGGATCACTGCAAGATGTGAAAATCCCCTGCATCCCACTGCCAGAGGAGTAAAGGAGCTGTTTGGTCACCATAGTAAAGAAGAAGAAGAAGAAAAAAAACTTTCTGTTTGCTAATCATTACATCATGTTTGAGCACAGTGTGGGAGGGAAGGGCAACAGTAAGGGAGTTAAGGGCAAATCAATAACTTCAATAACCCAGCACAGCTGCTGAATGTACAAACTGAAGGAAGAGAGACTGAAGACTCCTTCTACACAGAGCAGAGAGTCACTTCACCAAACCATGACCACGCTGTTAGATTTCATACATCTAATCATTGAAACGTCTTGCACAGTGCACTTTTTGAGGGTTTATTTGTGCCACAATTTGAGATGTGAGTAGAATGCAACAGCATATTATTTCAACATTTTAGTTCTTGAGGTGCTGTGTCTAAACCTGACTTGAACAACAAAGTGGATGAGTTGGCAGCCTATCCGAAATATCATCACCATCATCTTTTTGTGTGTCCAGCAGCCCAAATTTTATGGTAAATTACTGGAATTGTTTGTCTTTCTCTGAAGTGCATCATTTTAATTTATAAGGTTCTTTAAGATAGAGAAATTCAATCTGGCAAAATCTCATGGATACATGAAACATTCTTATCTCGCTGATAGCTGCATCGGAATGATTGGGCATTGATAACTGAGGCAGCTGTAAACAATCGCTATTTACATGTTCAGCCCCCAATATGTTCTGGGTTCAGACACCTCGCCCTAAGAGTTAACATCATGGAGAGGTGTAATACGGCCAAGAAGATAATTTGTGAGCTGTGAGTTGCGTGTCACTGTAGGCTTTTACAAAGCATTATATTTTCTTATAGGCTAGTCTACATTTTTTAAAGTGATGAATCTATAGCTGCAAAAATTTGGATGCCAGTCAGAATATGGGCCAAAAACAATTCTCCTACTCAGCCACATTTGCTGTGCTGCATCGCAAGTACATGAGTTGGGACCTGACGTGAGATTTGATCGCAGCTTCCGCTCACATTCACACTGATAAATGCCAAGCTTAGCGTGGAAATGACCATACACCCAGTTTTCTTTCATATACTTGTTTCCTAAATGAGAGCCGTTGTGTGTAAAGAAAAACAACACACAAACAATACAGATTTTTATAGCCTCTTTGCAAATGCTAGCAAGAGCTATTGAGACGGTACCTGAAGTCCTCAAACATATAAAAGATAATACACAAGTGATGTGATTACCAGGTGCGACCTCAAACTTTGCTTTCTTTTAAACGCCAGGGTTATAAAATAGAGGATGTCGTCTGTGCTAATGTGTAGCAGAGTTATCAGTCCAATGTTATGGACAACAGGCTGCTATTTGGTGCTGTGAGCAGCATATCAAGTCACATCAGTCATGTAGATTTCTAGGATAAAAAATGTGTTTACCTAATAACAACAAATAAATACTGAAATTAAAAGTAAAAACACAGCTTTCCAGTAGGGACAGAATTGTATATGGACAGAAGAAATGGATAATCACAGTGATTTCTAGAGGAGCTTCCGATCACAACAACGTTTTGATGAACAGGTTCCTAAATTGTTTGGATCCTGTCTTATAACCCCAAAGGCATTGGCTCATGATATACATATTGTCAGTTAGTGGCGGTAAAGTGCAGTAAAAGGGAGCAACACGCCAATAAAAGATGAGACCAAGACTCTAAGCAGCCAAAATGGGGTCGTTTCATGAGATATAAAATGCATGCATCTGTTTGTGAGGCCTTCAGGATGCACATAATGCATTGGGGGTGAGAAACATTGGATGTAAACAAAACTGTTAGTTCACAATGAAAAGTGAGAGACTGCAGACTCCACTGAAAGGCACTATGGATGAGGAGGAGGATTACTGGTTATGGCACTGACAACTCATGCCTTGAAGTCAATCCTTTCTGAAAACAGGCGAGCAATTCTTTGCCATTATTGATGTGAGGAACAGAGAGATCCAGTCCTCTTTAAGAGAACAATGATTTCATTTGCACACTCACCAACCATCTGGTCCAGATGGTGTCGAACCAATTGTTCTGAAAAGTTGCTGACCAACTCTGTGGTAATCTGCATCATTTATTTACCCTGTTCTCGTCTGTGTCCAACATCCCTCAGGCTTAAAAAAACATTGTGTTCCATCTTGGTTCCTGATCAACCTCAGACTCAGGTGCTAAAAAGTTTAAAGGGACAGTTCACCACAAAATCATAAATACATATTTTTTTTCTCTATCCTGTCGGGCTATTAATCAGCATAGATAGTTTTGGTGTGAGTTGCAGAGTGTTGGAGATATCGGTTGTAGAGATGTCTGCCTTCTTGCAAATATAACGGAAAAAGATGGCACTTGGCTTGTGGTGCTCAAAATGCCCAAAACATATATTCTAAAAAACTCAACAGTAATGTCTCTTTCCAAAAAGGACTCGCTTACTCAAGATAATCCATAGACCTTGCTGTGAGCCGTTTAATTTAGAAACTATTTTCTTTCTACTGAATTACACCCATCAACCAAATCACTGCGCAGAAGGAACTGTCCCTTTAAGGCACGTGTTCCTACAGAGTCGTATATAAGCAGCTTGGAAGTGCAACCCTTTGAAAAGCACAACAATCTAGACATGGTTATAAGCTGGCAGCTGTGAATCTATCGGCTAATTTTCATTACTGCCCCCTAGTGGCCACAAATCAAATACGGCAGTTTTAAGTATGACTGTACTATCAACCAGCCTTAAATAGAGCGATTCTTTAAAACAAGTACCAAAAAAACAGAGGACATTGTTCATTCCTGTTTAAGTTTGTGAGGACTTTGTTAAGGCCCTAAACAGATACCACACACACACTTACCAGTGTTTGCATCATTCTTTTGGACTGAGGGATGACCACTCGGAGGTCTGTCTTGCGGCTTGAAGGGCCCAGGCTGTTCCCAGTTGGTGGAAGAGGAGGAGGAGGAGGAGATTTGGGTGGTATGATCTTTCCCATGCTGCCTCCACCAGGTGAGCCCACAAAACCGTTCACTGAACACAGAAACAAAGAATTGACAAGGACATGTGAGATGTGATGGTGAGTAAATACCACCATTCCCTTAAGAATTGACTGACAGGTTGACTGTCAGTGAAGTATGTTAAGTATGTGCGACCTTTTCATACAAACATTTTGCTGGGATGTTTTCAGAACCTCTTACAGTCTTTTCAATGTAAAGCACAATAAATCTAAATTTAAGAATATTCAAAGCTTTGGATATGTGTTAAAAACAAGGGGAGTTTACAGTCCCATGTGTTAGATTAAATCCACCACCAGGCTCTGAATGGAGAATGGGGGAAGTTCAGCTATATATTATACAGGAGATAATCATGAATAATTGATTTTTCTTGCTCTTGACATTACATAATGGCAGTGTTCTTACGAGACATGCTGTTCTGGGAGGGAGAGCACGAAGATGACAGGCAGGATAGTTTGCAAGGAGGACAGTTTGTGATGAGGATTTAAGATCCAACAGTATATGTAATACAGCTGACATAAACCAGTAACAAATGACACTGAGGTGCATCCAGACTCGATGAATAACACAGATGCCTCCACTAGCGCTGAAGCTGAAACCATTCAAATGTTTGGATGTTAAGTAGTCACAGAATGTCCTGCAGTACATCAGCTTGCTCATATGTTTGGTTGAAACTATGCTAAATGTACAGAGCAGACCCTCTAGATTAGCGGTTTCCAAAGTGGGGATCATGACCAACCTGCAATCACAGTCATCTGAACAGCAGATTGCAAATATTGAGCAAAGTGTGACTCTCTCCCTCTTGGGAGGATATGTATACTGTGGGTGCAGCTCAGTGTGCATTCCTCTTTGTTTACTTAAGCTCACAAAATTTGCAAGGATTTGTTGTGTGTGAAATTTTCTTAATTTGCACAGGGATAATGTAGGAAGTTAGGGACAGAAAAAATAAATGTGTGCTCAGCCTGCACCCTGAACTGCTAACGCACAACTGTACATGTGGGTTGAACTCACTGATAAGACATGAACACAACAGGGAATTTTTTTGTGACCTTTTATGTCATTACAGCTATTTTTACGTTTCCTCAAGTTTTAGTTCCTCTATAAATAGAAAAAAACCCATTAGTATTAAAATGGTATAGTAAATGCTCACAGGCTTACAAATGTTTTGTCATGATTTTTTTTGTTCTGCTAGATGATCTCAGATAAACATTTCGGTAACTGTCAGGCATTCTACTGGGTTGAGAGACAGAGGGTAAGAGAGAGAGGTTATAGCAGGTAAACCCCCCATCAGGGAGGATGCTGGGAACAGAGAGAGGAGAGGAGAGGAGAGGAGAGGAGAGATAAGAATTCTGACAAGGATCAAAAAGAATATGAACTTAACTTCCTAGGTGACAATGTTCTGAGGCAACCACAGTAAAAAGGTTAGAGAATAATCATAACTGATAATGATATATTGTATTAAGACAAATGCTTACGTGCTTAGAACATTTTTCTTTTTGCCACGATAGACAAACTTTCATTGTTCAGTTCAGTAATTTTCCAAAGATAAACTACAAAGCCATAAATGAAATTGTTACACATTCTTGTAGACAATTTTGAAAAAAAAGTTGCTGTTAAGTGTTAAATGTTAATTGTTTCCTTTGTCCACATTGAGTTAATTTCACTTATTTCAGTACTTATGACAATTGTACTGCTTGAGGGATCAGTTTTGTCAGGGTGTGTCTGTGTGATGCCTGGGAAATACATACCAACTGGTCCAGACCCATTCTGCATAGCCATATCAGAACTGCCCTGTTGGCCACCTGGGGATAAACACACACACACACACACACACACACACACACACACACACACACACACACAGATTGTTATTTGATTTATTTTCCACCAGTTTGTTTTCTGTAGCCACCGACATGTGTACAACATATCTGGTTTTGATGGACATCAGAATTTGTTTGCTGGTCTTTCCAAATCGTCATCACCTGTGTCATCTCTAATGTCTTCACACATACAAACAAACAGGGACACATCACAGAGAAAGCAAGACTGCACACTAAATGTAGACATCAGCCCCATTATGACAGGGTTTATTCTCTAGAGGAGGTTGGCAATTTTAAAACCGCATCTGCTGGTCAGTAGTTCTTCCTGTTTCTTTTCTTTTCCTTCTGTGGGAACTTATTCAGTCCTGTGTGCCTCCTGTGTTGTTTTCACACTGGACCATCCAGACAAAAAGTAAACCTCTAAATTTACATGCACAAATTGTTGTGTTTCCTATGATTGAGTTTCATCAGCTCAGTGTGCACAATGCGTTTAGTTACTCCCCTGGAATATTAAGCACACACACCTGTGTTTCCAGTGCTGGGAGGTCTTTGTGGAGGGTTAACGTTTCTGTGGAGGTGTGTGTGAGGTGAGGAGAGGATCCCACTGTCAGCCAGAGCTGCTGTGGCTGCAGCTAAAGCTTGGGAGGTCGCTCCTCCTCCTCCTGCACTGGGGCTGTACGACATGCTGCCATGCATGAAGTTCTGCTGTGGAAGACCGGTGGGCTGCAGAGGAAGTGACAGAAGACAGAGACATGTCAGCATGAGTTGAATCAATACAAGAGCACAATAGATTAGCAACAATCTGATTTGTCTTTTATTTTGCCTGTCTGTGTTCTATATTTCTGTGTTTTTTTAACCAGGTACCTCACCAAATAGGGTAAGTATATGATCACCAACTAACTGACGCACATTTTGTGCCGTGGAAACAAAAACAAAGGGGAAGAGGAATCCCAGTCAAAACCAATAGGATTTAGAGCCAGAAGGGAAGATGCCGATGGGTTGCAGTCTCTTAACAGACTTCTGATATTATCAAACAAGGCTTTGATCTGCATCAGCCACTACAGTTCAGCTTACCATTTTATGACTCTTCATCATGTTGTCAAACTCTTCATTAATCTTCTTGTATTTCTCCTCAGTACTGGGGGTGAGGACGTAGGAGGCGTCAGCGTCAGGACTGTCACAGCCTCTGTGCTCCTTTTTGTTCAGGGCCTGTGTATGAAATACAGACAGGGGAGAGGCATTAGAAATAGTGATTAAAAACACTGGTAAAAAAAAACAGTGGAAATTGTACCAACATCAAGAGCTCTCTGGCACAGCTTCCAGTGGCCTGTAGTTGACATTCATTATAAAGCCACATCTCCCCAAGAGACAGTGGTGAGCCGACTACTGAGAGCAGAGAGAACTTCATAAATCACAGCAAACCAGTTTGTTAAAAATGATTTACATATCTTATTTTAATTCTGTATGAATTCATCCTGATGGAGAAGTTCTTTATCACAGACCACAATGTCTAAAGTGCAGTAGAGTTTACAGAAAAAAATGCAGCTTGGGTTCACACGTTACACAGAAATACAGATAAAAACAAAATAAGCACTTCACAAATTTAAATAGAGTCGAGCTGATCGGTTTAAACTTAAAACATATCCAGTATTACTATATAATAACATTTGTCAATGTCACAAGCTGAGGCATTGCAGAACACAGGATGTGCATGGTTCTGGTTGCTCCCTATCTAATATGTGGTTTAAGAGCAGGAAGGACAACCAACCACTAACGAGACTAGAAACCAGATCTGATTCTCGAGAGGCTCGCACAGTATGAAGACACTTCCCAAACCCTGAGGCCATGTTTACATTTTTGCACGTCTGTAAATGACATCCTGCTGAGTTCTTTATTGTGATTCTTAATACAGTAGGATGGGGAAACATAAATTTACCCTGTCGTAAAATGCCTTTAACACATTAATCACTTTGCAGCAGCATTAAACAAAAGTTGTTAGTGTGGTTCATTACCTATTATTTATGTTTTGTCTAGAAAAATATTTACAAGGACTTCTAAGGCAGGATGTTTTACCAGCTGTTCCCATCTGACTGACTGACAGCTCACAGGCTACAGTCATAAACCAAACATTTGCAAAATAGAGTTAGCAATCTAGAAAACAAAGCACAGTAGTTATACAATTTAAGCCACATAGCAACATGGTTCTAGGAATAACATGTCTGTCTGTCAGTTCCTCAGTCAGTCAGTCTGTGAAGTTTGACAGTCCCTGAGCTGCTAATGACTTTAAAGCATTCGTGGTCCACAGAGGACACACCCTAATGTCTTTAGTAATCCCGTCTTTTTATGTAGCGTCACCAGGAGGTCAAACACTTTTTTTTTTCACTTGCATCCTATTGACTTTGGTAATCCCCTTACCTTACCTCTAGTGCCACCATGTCGTTGACATTTGTGGTTTCAAGCAAATTGTCTCCACAACTAATGGATGGACTGAGATGAAACATGATTTAGACATTCACGTTCCCCACAAGATAAACTGCATCCCCTAACTTTTTATCTAACATCATCACCAGCTCAAAATGTTGTGATTGGTGCTGATTAGCAAATGTTGGCATGCCAAACATGCTAAATTATTATCAAACTATCATTATACTATTAAACTATTATAAATTATAAACGGTAAAACTGTTGTTGTGAGCATGTTAGCATGCTAACTTTAGTGTTTAGCTCAAAGCACTGCTGACCTTAAGTACAACCTAACAGAGCCGCTAGCATGACTGTAGACTCTTTATGTCTACTCATGTCATTTCATTGTTAGATGACCATGTGCCTGGTATGAGTGAATTGCCCTTTAGTATAATACATTTGTGGGTTTTACAAGATATGCATTTGCAAATTGCTCATAAACAGTCTTGGCTACAAACTAGTGGGGGGGGGGAATAAATTCATTAAATGTAGGACCTCTTACTCAGTCTGCTATGGGGAGTGAATTTTCTCTCTAGCTAACTGTACCAGCACAGTATGTAGACTGATTTGCTGGTGTGATGTACAGTTAAATGTATATATACAAGTTCAAATGGTTAAATGCTTTTAAGCAAGACACTGAACTACTTATTGATTATTCTCTGGGAGCTGCTGATGTGGGGTCAATCATATTCAGTATTTTGTGAATCACAATAATAATGGCCTCCACAAATTCAGTTGGCGTCTACTTTGAAAAATGCATTTATGTTTTGCATGTGCAGTAGCTGAGCCACTGCATTCATGCTTTAGCCGAACATCACGTGCTGATAGAGGATATAATATTCTTCTCTCAAGTGTCTGACAGTTTGTTTGCCTTTATGAGCTTTAAAGCAGCATGACAGACACAAAGCTGGTCTGAGTAGTGCACATATTAACAGTAGTCTTCCTCTAGAGAGATGCTGCTCCACATCACAGACCTACTCATCTATATTCACAGCAGCCTTTTAAACACTACGGACTGGAGTAAGCAGATATTTTTTATAGCGAGCCTGTAACAACTTTGGGTTTGGTTGGGTGTTTATAGTGGTGTAGGGTGGATAGACAGGGAAATAAAAGGCAAAAAGTTGGCTGTTTATGCATCCCCGAGCATGACCAAAGATGTAGCCATCAAATGAGATTCATTAGCACAAACAAATCTGTGGAGGATCATATTTCTGTCAGCAACACAGCTGGGGCAAATATCCACAGCTCTGCAGACACGTAGTGCTGGTAAAGAAAACGCTGTTTGAGGAAGGCAGAATCTGATCTCAACATCAGCTAAAGTTAGCATTATATTTAGGTTAGGCTTAGGGTAAAGGAAAAATTAAAAATAAAAAATTAAGTTGTGATGGCATAAACAACTATTCGCAACTGTGCACCCAGCATTATCTTGAGATTTTGAGTTGTGCGCACTGTTTCCAAGTACCATAAACAACTATTACACACACACATATTGTGGAACTGAAACAAATGATGTTAATATAGTCAGAAATCTCTCTGCTAATGATACCAAATGTATGTGGAACTTCACACCACAGTGGTTTTGACGAAAGTGAACAGCTAGTCACTTTCTGTCATAACATTTTTACATCACTGCATCAACATCCTGCTTTTGGTTTCATGATTTCTAACTCCTGTTGTAACATACTGGGATCATAAAAGTGTCTTTGCATTGCATCATCATTAACGTATCCACCACTTAATCTGACCCCTGCTGTAACAACACAAAGCACATTACATGCTTCTAAAAGGTGTGAGCTCGTCAGTTTTTGAGCATGGAAGCATCACTTACAGATTTGGGTATTGTGTTAGGCAGTTAACAACATTTGAACTTGCATGAGCAGATTTTTTGGCCACTTGAGGGTAGCACAATAAGCACAACACTGACATATTATCACTTTTTAAGGTGCTATGACAAACTTGTTAGCAAGCAGGTACCTATTTACACATCCGGCAAATACAATGCAGCATCAGCATTCTTTTGGGGGCTGTGTTACTGTCCACTTGATGAATGTTAGTCCTATTTTTACTCTCCTTTTAACTTGGTTTTGTCTCCACCGGCTCCTGAGGGAAATATCTGACTCTTCAGCTGCTAAATGCACCACTATGGTCACAAGCTTCTTGCTTATTTTGTCTGTTTATCTCTTGGTGCTGAGCAGGTAGTGTACAGTGGGGTTTTTAAGAGCTTTTTTGCTGGAAAGACAGGAAATCAGCCTGATGAGAGTGAACCAAAACAGTAACAATGAGCTAAAAGACACTGAATGCTCCATGAAGGCTGATAATTCTCAGTGTGTTCGTCACTACAAGCTACACCTATCACATCACACAAAGTTATGTGACCATTGTTGATATAAAAATATCGATTACAGCAGCTTTAGCAAAGAGAGGAATGCACATTCATACAGCAAAAGCTTTAAATGAAATACCTGTATTTATATTTTGTGTGGATGTATTTCTGTGTGTGTTTATTTGTGCATGTATTTTCTTTTAAGTATTTCATTTTTTCAAAAGCCTCCTAGGGACAGGTGTTGCAAATTCACATTTCATTACAAACACTAAACAAAGTGCATCTGGTTCATCTGCATAAATGTACAATTCTAATGCCAACATGACGTCCATAACAAATAAACTAAACTAAACAAACTGACATTTTATGATGGCACATTTCAAATATCCAAATTTAAAATGTCTATTGCATCATATGAAAAAAACATATGTAATTCCCATTGTAAATAACCATGAAGCCAAGCAAGGACTTGGCATTGTTGAGGTGGTTTAGAAAGACTGGATTTAGATAATTAGATTTAGAAACGGGACGGATGAATTGATGGATGTTAATTTACAGCACCTGGACTTCGGTACAGGAGTCACTGTAAGAGAATCAAATCATACCGGCATCATGCGAGCCTGTGAGATGACATCACTTCTCTGGTATCCATCATCTCATCTCTGCTCCTCATTACATTACACGTCATAGCGTGAAAAGGACAGACCAACACAGCAGCCAGCTGACTGTCTGTCCACCACATGTCCTCGGCATTCCCAGACACTGGTAGTTATTAGGAGCTTTAAACACACACTCGCAAGTCTATTTTCACCACAGGCCTGAAACTACATTTTAGCAAGTGGTGACCAATTAGAGAAGTCACACGCTCAATTCATTGGCTGGTTATTTCCACACTCCAGTAAACATCAAGCTGGCCAGTTAAAATTGAGACACATGCAGTGTTTGGCTTGGTCAGCTCAGGACAAGCTTTCCCTGAAGCTGGCAGTTTGTTTGGTGGACCCTTTGACAGTTCTGCCATTTTGTCTAATTATGGGATGATACATTGTGTGAGTTTACATATAGCAGTGCCAGCAATTTGTTGACAGGTGGCAAAGGACTGATCCATCAGTGATTTAAAAGAACAGTGTGTAAGATTCAGCCGGATTTAGAGGGGATTTAGTGGCATCTAGCGATTGCAACCAGCTGAAACTTAACCAGGCTAGAATTCCTTCCGTTTTATTGTTCAGGAGATTTTTTATCGAAAGCCGAATTTTCCGCAAAGGTCTCTCCCTCCCTAGAGCAAACAAACCTGGTGATTAAAACCACTTAAAACACTTAATAAAGCAGTTTCACGTTGTAAATCAGCGTTTCTCCTACTGTTTGGCATGTCGCAGACTAGCCACTAGCCCACCACCTGCTAATGTGTGCTCACCTTTTTTCTTTC